ACTAGTGTCTTTGTGATTGATACACTGCTGTTCTATTGCACCTCTGTAGGCTACTGCCACTTAGAACAGTTGTTTTGTTTTTGCTCTATTTACAAGAGTTACAGCAGAAGGGCTCTGCCTTGGTTCTTCTGTGCTCAGGCAAGCACAGTTAATTCATGTGTGCACTTTATATCTTGTGGAAGAACATGGCCAGAGTTGAAGCCTGTTTATGTGGTGTATACTACTGTAGTTCTGTTGACTTTTAGCTGGCTTGTACCACCTTAACATAAAAAAACACCTCTGCTAGTACCAACTGCCATCCATGCTGGAAGCATTTATACAGCCATCTCAGATTTTCTGCAGATGTGCAGGGGATTACTTACTTAATATTATTTTGCCAACCCTAACCACTAGGCCATAGTGACCTATGAATTTAGTCTCTAGTTAATAGACAGATACATATAAGCAATTTGGCTCAAGCTGTTGGCTGCACGTAGTTTGTAAAGCTCTGTTCTGTATGCTGCTAACTGGGAATACGCTGTGTATTTCCCTAGGCTGGGATCAGGCACATAGTTCTGATAGGCAAGGCTAGTTGCAGCCTTCTGTGTCTCAGTAGGATGACTCCTGCTGCTATTTTAATGATAAAGCTTCATTTAACAATTACTAAACAGCTTTCTTACTGAAAACTTAAAGGCTTTACTATGAGTTCTAGGTAGGCTCTTTCAGAAGGGGAAACAGTAGTTTCAGCTATGAAAGACAAGTAAAATAAAATGGTCATCTCTGCACTTGACTTGTTGTTTTATTTTGGCCTGGTAGAGGAAATGCACTGTCATATTGGTACATTTTGTTCTCAGAATTAAGAGCAGAACAAGTAAAAGTTGAGTCTTGTGGAAGAAAGAAAACATCACAAGAACATATTAGTATTTATCTCAGATGCTGTATGTATTTTGCATTACATATAAAACTCCTTTTTTTCTTGAGAAGTGCATCAATTGAATTGCTTCTGTGAAAGCATGAGAGTTAGCATAAGCCATTGATACGTTGTTTGGCTGAGCTGGAATACAGACATATAAAATGAACACCGGGTTTCAATACTACAAATGTCTGGAATGCTGAGGAGTGAAGAGTTCCAGGGGAGCAGTCATGCCAGGTTGGTGGCAGAGAAAACAAAAGTATTCAAAAGCATATGGAGAAAGTAGAAAAGTTCTAGATTGTTTTATGGGTACAGAGGTAGCCACCCTCTTCAAGCAATACCCATAGCTTCCTTCTCCTATGTGCTGCAGTTATTTGCTTGCACTGTGGTCTGTGAACCATCTCTCCTAACTAACTAGCATGCTAACTAACCATTCAGTTTCTTTTGCTTCCTAGGAATTGCTTCTGCCTTCCCTCAAAAGAAGGTCAGCATGCAGATTCAGGGATAATTGCTGTGTACATAATTCTGTCTGTTAAATATTACCTATCATCTTGTTATTTGAGTAGGTCAATCTCATCAACATCCTAGTCTCCAAATCAGTAGTTTTGCTCATGCACTGTGGCTATTATATATGTTGTGTGGACGCCAAAGAAATCACTGCTTAACAGCTCTTAGTTTGCTGAACAGTGAGGAAGAAAGTCTACCAGGGGGCATATGTACAATCTGTCTGGCCATTTTATGCAGCACTTGAAGTTATGAAAGAGAATCCTTTATTGTTATCTCTATAAAAAAGGCAATTGGAGCCCTGGAAAGCATCATTTAAAATGCAGCTTCTGAGAACGAATGCTATGAAGAATGAGGGCAGAAATGATTACACTATCTCCTTGAGGATGTGGGAACTCAAGTTTACAGTATCTCACTGGCCTAGGATCAGGATTTAATTCAGATCCCATCCATGCAGACACTACCCCATTTTCATTGTTCAAGCTTCAAAAAGTCCTTTTTAAAACAATTCGATTTGCCACTTCTACTGTAAAACAAAAAGGATGTTCAGATAAACTTCCTGCTGCACTTTTAGATGAAGGCAAGGATGCAGGAGTTGTATCAGCTCCAGCAGGCACCAGGAGCTGCCTGCAGGTTCCCTACTCAACAGCCATCCAGCTGAGGTCATCTTGTGGCCCAGGAACACGTGGAGCACAACACAGCTGTTGTGTGGTAGTTCAAGAGTACTCATGACAACTCACAGTGCACAGAAAATTCTGTGAAGCCTCATCTGAAGCAGTGTTCCTTCATTGGCTTTTGCTGGTTGAATTTCAAATATCACTCCTAACCAGCATCGGGTTATACAAATATTTTTTAAGCTTTTGCAGAGGCACTTTCCTGGGCAGCCTGGTCTATTAAATGTGGAGGCTGGCAGCCCTGCCTGTAGGGGGGGAGGTTGGAGCTTGATGATCCTTGAGGTCCTCTTCCAACCCAAGCAAATCTATGATTCAATTACAGTTTTTAGTTTTGCTTATCCAAGTGGTATTAGGCCTTTAAGAATAAATCACGCTGACGACCTAAGCAGAAAAACAGTGGTTTCAGAAATTGTATTAAGCGAAAAGAATATTTAGTAAAATCTTGTTTATGAGCCTCCCTTTCCCCAGATTCAGTTATTCAGGCACTGGGATGGTATTTCTGTGATTGGTATAAAAGGCATCTTGAAATGACCTCCTTTCAGAAGATTCAAACATAGAGCCAACTCATTTGGCAAAGATTCTGATGCAACATTAGGTGAGAAATCATTTTCATTTAGAAGCACTAGTGTAATTTATTAACTGAAAATAATGCTGCTTTAAAAACAAAATTGACAATATTGGTTCACATCTGCAGAAAGACATGTACTACTACTCCAAACTCAGTAACAACAAAGCAGTTTTGTTACTTTCCAAGCACTCATGCACTCAGTACTGGCAAGCCAGCCCCTAAAATTAGTATGAGCAAACTCTCAGCCTTGTCTGAGGTATTTTTGTTTTGTATTTTATTGTTGCAAATCGTACAGACATTAGCGCTCTGTTAAATAAAGGAATGTAGCACAGTACATACATCACAACAGAACAGCTGGCCAGGGCCCCCCAACCCCCACCCCAAATAAAACCACTCCTCTTCAACCCCCCCACCCCCACCCCAAATCAAACCACTGCAGCGTCATTACAGAGGTCAGAAACCTGTGGCAAAGAAACATCAGAGGAATTACATTCAGTAGATGTGCAGTATCAACATTCCAGGCTCACATAGATCTATATATATATTTATATTTATATAGAGAGATAATTAAATGTTTACAAAGAACAATATTGTTACAAATACAATACTATACTTTTCCCAACGCTTTACAATAATTTCTATTCACCCTCTTTACAGAACAATAATATAACTTCATAGTCTAGGTACTGTGCTAAATATGTACAAGATATCTCAACCACATTGCTGTCTTCAGAAATGTATTTTATTTAAAAAAACAAGGAAAACAAGCAAACTCGGAATCCCCAATTTGAGCCAGGTTCAAAACAAATGTGAGAAACTTGCCAATAAAAAAAATAGAAGGGATATTTCACCCTTAATGTAAACACTGAAGAAAAAGTTAACAAGACTGCACAAAGCAGCGAGAAAGAGAACAAATTCAGGTCTGTTGCTGAAGAAGGAATGTAAAGCAGCAGTTTGCTCCATCTTGTCTGTTAATTCATGTCACCTGATAAACTGCTGCAACGGCCCAGAGAACTGCCAGCCTTCCAATTGGAGCGTGTTTTTTGAAACCCCTTTCCTCCACACGTAAGACAGGATTGTTAGAAGACAGTTACCAACAGTGTGTGTGAACTACGGACCTGCCAGTTCAGAAACCTCTCTCTCTCTCTCTCTCTCTCTCTCTCTCTCACACACACACACACACACACACACGCACGGCTACTGTAAGGATGTATTTTTTGCTAGACTCTGATCCCACAAGCATTCAGTTGCTTAATGTTAAGTGCCTGTGTACTGTGTGCCATGAAAGCACTTGAGTGCCAAGAACTTGGCAGAATTTTGGATGCAAGATTTTCAATAAACAGTTGTTTCATCGCTCCGTACTTTCAGGTCTTCAGCATTTTGCAGTGAAGTCAGGTAAGAACCCCACCACGTGAGTGGTACAGAAGCACAGAAACGAGTGAAGCTGGGTGTGAGCACAGCAGGACACAGAAGCACGGTAACTGTGTCTTTGAGAGTTCACTGAGTTACCTCAGGCAACTCACGGAAAGGCTGCGCTGTATATAGTCCTCTGAATTGTACGTGGATATATATTGTATTTACATATATTACTATATATATGGAGAGTTCTGAAAAAAATTCAGATGATCACCATAAACCAGACGCTGACAGGCAGACAAGATACACGCCGTCCGTTATCCACTTGCATCAGCCTGGTGGCAGAGGTAAGTGTTAACCTGGAACACTAACGTGGTGCTCTTGTGCAGTCTGTTATTCCACAGATTGGGATTAAACTATATAACGAGAACTGCAGTAAAAACAAGTCACTCTGCGTTAATCTCAACACTAAAACATATTCACTGACAATACCTGACAGTTTATGCAGTGCTCCATTACCTCCTTTAGGATTTACTGCCCTAAAACTACAAAGTTCTGTTTTCTACCTCTCAGCAGGCCGTGGGTGTTTGTGATATCTGAAAGCCAAAAATGAGCTTCTGGAGCTCGTGCTCCATGGCTCTCATCAGCATGCACACCAGCTGTGCCTACGCACACACACACATCCATCCATCTCTGGAGACATTCCAAGCTATCATTACCAGACTGCAAATAATGCTTCTTTTGCACGGTCTACCACACAGTAACTGGGAAACAAGTAACTGTGACCATGAGAACATCTTCGAAACAGAACAGACAGGTCTGTGTGACCTGTTCTTGTTTTCATCCCACTGAGCCTTCCTACCACGCTATGACATAGCAGAAACTGTTTCCGTAAAAGAAGACCAGCTTACTAGCTTGGACTAAATGCATGGTACAATTGCAGTGTAAACACCTGTATACAGTCCTGGTAAAAGTAACTACAAACAATGGAGAATTTTCCTCTCACTAGGAAGAAAAGTCACTGCTTTTATTTATTATTATTCCTTAAGGAAAAAAAAAAAAAGGAAACAACCCAACCCGTTTTCCCCCTTTTATCTCTAGCATGCAAGTTACAGGCCACTCAAATCCTATGTTTCATACATCCCTACAATATATCTTCATACAAGTGCATATAGTACACATATATATCCTAAAGGTGCCATACAAATGGAAAAAAAGTCACAACTTAACTTAAAATAAATATGTTTATCCCCACTTTACCGCTCCGATTATTATCTATGTCATGAACTAAAGAGAAAGTCAATAAAATTAGACAAGTCTTTGGACAAAAATATATGTTAAAATTGGCTCAGAGAACGAAATTACTTAGAATAGTATGCAGATCTCTTATATTCAAACTTCATAAATAGCAAGCACAATTTTAAAAACATCTATATACACCGGCACGCATTGCTGTGTGCACCAAATGCGGAAATAAGAGCCTAGAAAAAGTGTAGCTATTCAGGAAAGCCCCTCACTATTTCTCTTGTAGATATTTAAAGATCCTCCCCACCCTCCCCCCCCATCTTTAACATCTAAAACAGGTAAGGGACTATAAAAGACACGTTACATTTAAAAACAAAGCAAAACAAAACAAAGAGTTGGAAAACTGGGGCAGAGAAAGGAGGGCAGTTGTTAAAAAACAAAAAGCTTCCCCCATTACTTGGTGTAAGTAATGGAATTGTAACACGTTTAGGCATCTCAGGAAGAACTTCTTGGAGTCCTACAGTCAGGACAAACTGCTGATGGGGAGTAGTTAAAAAGTGTGTATTTGGACAGTCTATTTTAACACAGCAGCATTCACTCATTCTTCTGGAGAGCAAAATTATCCCAGCATTGTACTTTTCCTACAGATGTAAACCTCTACAGACTTTCAGAAAGCCTATGGGAAAATGGGAAGGAAAGTTCATCACATGCAGGATGTCCAAGAGAACACTTTACTTCCTACATTTCTGCCTGTCTAGTAAAAACATCTTTCATTTTGCAACATCAAGCTTATTTAATTTGTGAAATTACAATCACAAAAACCCCTAGTTATTAGAATTACTCAAACAAATCTAATCTTTTTTTGTGAATCCTGCAGTGAAGAAGGCTGCTGTTATTTTCTTGTTTTGCATGTGGAACTGCATTTAGTTTCACTTAAAAAGAGATGCAACCAAAATAGTCCTGTAGATATATTTTGCCCCTTCCCTAAATACAGGAAAATGGTGGGGAGAAGGGAGGAGAGAGAGACAGTATGCTTGTGAGTGAGATAAAGAAATAAACATCTCTGCAGACACATAAATGCAGCACTAGAGTGACAAGCACTATTGAGGAAAAACATCCTCCATGCACATTGTGACGGTGAGTGTCAGCTTTAGATGTAAACTGGTTGCTCTTGTGCAGTCAGCAGTCTGTACATGGCAGCTGGCATAGTCTTCATATGAATCTAAAGGAAATAAGACAAGTTACTCAGTGTTCCTAAAGTGCATACTACTTTGGCGAAGGAACTAGCTAAGGTCAGACAGAACAGAAGGGAAAAGCAAAGCCTGAGAAATTTTGCATCCTTATTAAAATATGGCAGGTGGTGAGATGACAAAGCAGTGTGATTGGCATCAACTGACCATGTAAAGTTGTGGATACTTGAAAATTCCCACATACAGTCCATCTAATACACATGAGAACTACAGGTACATTAAAAAAAAAGAAATGGTGGATTATCCTTACCCTCACTTCCACTGTTCAGGTTTGAGTAGCAACAGCCTAAAAGAGGTAACAGTGATGAAGTACATTATACTGCTTAGTTGCACTGCTCTTACCTCACCAACAGCGTTTGAGAGAATGTGAACAATTTTCTCATGGGGTGTTGCTACCACACTCTGTCCATTGATTTCAATGATGCGATGGCCAACACGCACACCTCCTCGCTCTGCTATACCACCTCTCATGAGGCTGCAAATCTGGAAGGCAAAGGAAAAATCTATCGGTGCCTAAGTATGGAAGAGAGGCATTAAGCTACCCCTTCTCGCCTCTGAATTGTAATTCAATATAGGCTTGCTACAGATTCTAAAATGTCGTTTATCACTGATTCAAAATAAGGTCTGTTAGCAGCAAGTAACTGCCGTATATTCTCTTCCGAGAATACAACAGTCAGAAGAGGCTATTTGTGCTGCATGTCAGATGCGCTACAGTGTGGCAATTTAAAGGTGTAGGAAGGACCACAGTTTAACAGTGTTAGGGATGCAGATGCCTTACTGCAAGAGGATGTAGAGTAGTCTTTTTCTTTTGAGAATGTACAATGTCTTGGTCAGAGACAGAAATGAAGACTGAAACAGCCTCAGATACACAGTTTTGTTTCTCTCATCTGTATTTGTTTCCCTAACTCTGAAGTTGTGGATTAAGCAGAGTCAAAGATAAAAATAACTCTGATTAACTGAATGTTTAGATCCTAAGACTTAATACGTATGCAATGTCCTGTATGCTGTGATGGAGAAAATGACAGTTTCCTTCTCCCACACATGTGCTTCACAGGAAGCTACTTACAATCCCATTTTGCACACTGAAGCCCAACTGATATCTGAGGTCCGGTCTCCTGATCAAGACAGTGGTCACTGGAGGACACCTGACTATGTTCAGTTTAACCCGAGCCTGGTTTTTCAAACCCTGCAAAAAGAAATCACCATGAGAAATGGTGGAGACAGAGGGAAACATTTAACATGAGCACTTGTGGGAAAAAGGTAAGTGTTTAAATACCGACATAGGAATACTCCTGAATAAACATTTATCTGCGTGCATTCTAACAGAACTGGGTCACTCTGTGCTAGAAACAAATATGCAAATTACTCAGGGAAATCAGCAATACAATATCAAATGTTTCTTGTTAAGAAGCTGAAACTGCTGTTTTAAGAAATGTGGCTTCCTGTTGCCAATTTCTTCGTCTCATAACAAAATGTGTAAGTATATGAAACTGGTTTAATCCAGCACACTGAGAAAAGCGAACTGTGGCTGGGAAATGAAATTTCAAACATGTAGCTAAGATAGTAACAAACAATTGGCTTCTCCAATGGGATTCTGGAAGGTTCTACTCCTGTCAAATGCCTGTTTAAGCAGCGCTGCTTTTTTGCACTCTTCCTCCCTTCTTGGTTTAACACATCCATCGTGAACTCCTTGATACTAGAAGAAAAATGAAAGAGGATTTTCTTTTTATGTCCTTCTGTGGTGGTGAAACACTAAAACAACAGATTGCCTGGACCGGCGCAGAGAGTCCATCCTTGGATTTATTTAAACCCCAGTAGAAACAGCCCTACAGAATCTTTTCCAGCAGATTCTACTTTGAACCAAGGTGCTTGCAAGCTGCTAAGAATCAGCAAAGTGGTTGCAAAGCTCCACAAAAACTCAAATGCTGAAATGCAGGCAGCTGCACTCTGTGCAATTACAAGTGCTCGGGTATCTTACTTGTAGTCTGCTGATCTTTTTTCCAACATAGAAGCAGAGACACATTTTTCTACTCTTAAATGCTTCATTCGCACAAAAAATTAGCCTTCAATAAATAAGTAAATCCATATCAGTAAAGAAATGCTTCATAAAGAATACAGTGGCTTCCACCTTTCCTTGTGTAACACATATCAATTCCAATATCTATTTCTGAAGTCCTTTAATAAGTACAATTAAAATCCGGGTCCCACTGAAACTAAGTGGCACCTGGCATTAACAGAAGGTTAATTCTGAAAAATAATTTCTACTGCAGCTAAGGTAATACAATGAAGTTTCTCCGTTCAGTTCACTGTTGGTGATTCTGTTGAGCTGAACTCCTGATTCAACAGTGACTTGAATAACTGGACTGGCATTCAGGGTGAACTGCTTTCACAGGGTGAATCTTCTTTCTTGCCAATGCTTTAAACTGTCTGGACGCAGTCGTCACAAGGGCAATGGCTGGTCTCACTTCCACACAATCTTGAGCTCAGCTTAGCTTGTTATTCAGGTGGCTTCAGGAGAATGATTGTATGAACTTGAAGTGAGCACGTGCTTATGGAAACTGCCTCCACTCCACTCTCAGCTAAAAGAACATCCCAACTCCACTTCTTCCATGACAGTGCTCAACACTGGGTTTATCTGCATGCTGTATGTGCTCAAGAGCCTCCAGAACAAACATGGAGTAAAAGACAGGAACTACTTAACTTATACTAAGCTGAAGGTATCATGCTTAATCTGATGGGCTTCTCCCTTAGTCTTCTAAATTCAGAAGAGTAGGACTCACACTGAGATATTATTCATGTGAGGAATTTAGGTATCTAACTTCAGACATATGAGTTCATTCATGTTACATGCCATCAACAGAACTGATACAAATGCACTCCTATTTTTCCTGAGGTATGCACAAGTTATTTACACCTGTTCCTTCAAAAAGAACTAATGTGGTCACCAATAAAAAAATTTACTAACCTTACAAAAAGCACATTTATTTTAAAAATGACTGATTCTGTATTATGCAAAATGGTGATAAGTGCTGACTAGAAAAAAGCAATTGCATAACTTGACCAATTTATTTCCTTCTGTAGTCCCTGGGTCTGTTTCTGATAATAAAAAGTACCAGAGGCTTTTGAAAAAGAGAGATACAGTAATACAATTGGGGAATAACCACCAGCAGCTACTCCTTAGCTCTGTCATTCTGTAATTGGTTTACAGACGATTAATAGCAGAGCCTACATCAGTAATACTAACATTACCTTACTGAACAGCTTGCAAGATATTCTTCAAATTAACATGATATTCATATTTTCATAGGAGCCTTTAGAGCACTCTAAATAAATCTGAAATCCTGAGATTTTTCTGCCACATTTAAATAGGTCATTCAGCAGTTCATACACTTGATATAAGAAGTGCTATGTGAACAGCTCTTGATGTATGGTAAGGAAGACATGAAAATCCGCTGACTTTTCTTTAGAAACACAAAATATACAGCTAGCAGTTTTTTACAGCTACAAGTGTAAGTACCAGCTACCATAAGAGAAACGTCCGCAGAAGATAAGCTGGTTGTTTCTGTTTTGAGAAAATACGAATGCGCTTCATAAAAACAAAACCCCACCTGAAAGGTTCTGAATCAAAGAAGCACAAGTCATCACAGTTTTAGAAACAAAACTTATAAGGGACAGGAAACAAGTATGGCTTACATGAAAAGCCTGAACTTGTGGTGGACTTAGCTCCACTGAAGCTTTCTGGGAGACATGTAACGTGATTTTTCTTTCCATACTTCACAAATGCAAGACTGCTTCTGTCAATTTTTTGTATACTACACTTCCGGGCTTTCATTTCCACTTGCAGAATCTAAAATGTCTGGGTCAGAAATCTGTGCATCTACTTCTCACTATAGCACAGCATTCATGTTTTGGAAACCAAAATGGGAAATCTAGTTCCTGTGCCCATGCTACAGCAGGGACACCTCCCAGGAGATCAGGTTGTCCAGAGCCCCATCCAACCTGGCCTCAAATACATCCAGGTCATCCAGAGCTTCTCTGGGCAGCCTTCTAGTGCCTCATCACCCTCTGAGTAAAGAACTTCCTTCTACTATCTAATCTAAATCTCCTCTCTTTTCGTTTAAAAGCATTCTCCCTTGTCCTATCACTATCAGATCATGTAAAAATGTTAGTCTCCCTCATTTTATATCCTCCCTTTAAGTATTCGAAAGCAGCCATGAGGTATCCCTGGAGTCTTCTCTTCTTCAGGCTGAATGATTTTCCAGGTTGCAAGTGCTCATTGCTTGCTTATGTCAAGCTTTTCATCCAAGCAGAGTTTCTACAGAGGATAAACATGTTCTTTTGTCTTTAATTCTAATTTAAAAATACTTCAAGATACATCAAACAAAAAGCCTCAGCTCCACTTCAGCCAGAGGCAATAAAACAGTTAGTATAGCTTATAACAGTATTAGGCAACTCTTTCTCCCACATACATTGTTACAAAAAATGTTAAGAGCCTTTAGATAGACATCTGGCAGCATCTAGTTTTCCAACAAAATGTTCTGATGATGTTCTGTACATTAAGACATTAAGTTCTGATGTTAAACTCTGTAAATGCCACAGTTCACCTCCTGAGAGTCAGAAAACTGGGAGAGCACAATTTGCATCACATTTTGAAAATCCAATGAAAATGGAAAAATTCAAGAGGAATTAATACTTAATTGTTCTACACTTACTGCTTTCCCACTATGTAACCCTTTAAAAACATGCAGAAACATTCTCTGTACCTTTATAATGCTCTGACATGTTGAGAGAGGTAAGCCAACCAGACTGGTCCCGTTGATTGACATGATCTGGTCCCCTATATTCAGCTTTCCAGACTTCTCTGCTGGTCCCCCATGCATCATATTGGCTATGATAACTGTAGGCAAAATGGATCCCCAGCCAGACTCCACAATTACTACACCTAGGATTTCTCCTTTTTGCTTTTCGATGTAAACCTGTATCATAAGAAAAAGTGCATCAAACAGAAGCTTCTTCTCAAACACAGAACTGACTAATTGCCCCTCCCTTTTCTCCTCCACCTTCTGGGAAAAAAAAAAAAGTTTATCTATATTTACTAATATTTATATATATAACTCCTCCATATATTTTATAAATTAACAACACACACCCTTCGCTATTTGCAACATGCCTTTCTAATTCAAAGGCAAACAGAACAGTTGTATTCAAACATTAAATAATCAACAATACATAGATTTTGCTTAGTAAAGAACATTCCTCATACAATTTTTTTTTCTGCAGATGAGCAGAGGGAACTGGAGGGGAAGAAACAGTGATTACTGTGTGCTTCACAGGACAAAGTTAAACAAGAGGAGTTTACAAGAGCTTATGACTACACATTGGAACACCACATGCTGTCTGTTGCAGTAATGCACAGGTTCATATTTACTACAAAGAACAAAGCAGCACACCCCTTCAGCAAAAACAATTCTTTATAATCTAGAGTCAGTCACTCCATCAGTGCCAACATGAGTTTTACGCTATTTACTGTAATCTCTAAATTGTATTAATTTTTAATCTGCTTTAAATTCATTCTGTCAGCATACAATATCAAACATTTAAAAAATGTTAGATAAAAAGAATGCAAATCAATTCACTTTTCACACATGATAGACTTGGTTTGCTCTGTTTGCCTTTGATAGAGAAACGATGACAGGTTGTCCTACTGAGGAGGATATTCTAGATTCATTTAAGTCATTTGTAAGAAATACTAATGCTTTTCTGATTCGTGCCCGTATGGGCCTGCCACTAGTACAGAGAGTCTTACTGTTGTTAGGAAGAAAAATGAGACATACATCTTTGCAGTTTTCAGATTTGGAGAAGTGAATGAGGTCATCATTGTACATGTCCTGGGTGTTGAGCAAGTCACTATATTCCTTCTGGCTAAGGTCTTCTGGGTTGATTCCGTTCGCCCTCAGAAACTCCTGGTATGCTACACTAAAGGCTTGACCTATGGACTGTGCAATCAGCTGTGCCTGCAGCAATTCCCAGAGAAAAGAAAGTCAAAACATTCTGATGGTCCACTATACAATCACATTGTAAAATGGCTTAATCCTACAATGTCCTAATCCTAAAGTCACAGTTAAAAAAAAATACTTGTGCACTAAAAATTAAAGCTTTATAAGATGTCCATACGTTCTCTTGAGAAAAGGAAATCCTGCCACAGCTAGGAGTCACTAGCATAAATGTAAAGGCACACCTGCTGCAGTGACTGAAAAATAGAAGGCAAAAAACAACTCTACCTCCCACCTGCAGTTCTTCTCAACCTTGCAGCTTCTATGTGGCTCTCCTGTATAGCAGAGGTAATGCCACTGATGGAGTTGGAAACAGAAGACAACTGGGATCACTACCCCTTGAGGTCAAAGTAAAGTTAAAAAGACAGGTACTGGACAGTAGGGGAAAGCAGCACACAGGGTGCAGAGTACACACACAGATGCTGTGTGTAACAGGAATTGTAATGTAAATACCACTGTGTGGGGGACAGAAGCTGGCTACAATCTGCACAGAAACAGTCCCTTGCAGCATGATGCTGAATGGGGAGAGGGGCTAGGGAAGAGATGGACAAAGTGCCATGTTTAACCAGACCCTGGGGATGGCTTGTTATGAAAACTTCTGCGGTATATTTTTGTACAGCTTTCCAACTGCATTTTAAGGTCCAGTTTGGTCCCCAGTAACAAAAAGTTTCTCAACTCCCAGTTAAGAAAGTGATTGCATTTCAAAGCAACTCAAGATAGCACTTAACTTGCTGATGAGCATAGCATGATAGCTAGTGCTGAGAACGCGAATGTCTAGACTAGCATTATTTGCCAATGCTCAGTTCAATGAGAAGAACAAGATGGCACAACAGTGGGAAAACAAAGAGCTAAGCCATAAACGTGTATTTTATGTATGTTCATACGGATACATCTTGTCTCCAAGAAGAGATCAATTCCCATTTAAACAGCCACTATTTGGACACATCAGTAAGAATCAGTTCTTTTGGATATTCAGCCAAAAACAGGACTGAAAATCTAGTGCTAGCTTCCTTAGATAAGGACATTTTGGCCAACCTCCACTGCTTACAGCAGGCTGCCAATTTTTTTTATGTTCTTGGACAAAATATTGACAGACTACTTTTATCAATGCTTCTGTCTTCATTTTTCAACCTCAGTGGAGGACTGACATATGTACATCCACCTGCAGCTACACAATTCATCTGAACATAGGCTCATATTAGGTTCATCATTACGTTTAATCAGCTGCTTATTCAAGGAACTTTCCTTCATCAAAGTCCTTGCTGATACAGCACGGAGTAGAAAGCATAAAAAGATTTTAAAAGAACTGATACTCCCACTTCTGTTAACTATTTCAGTATATGCAAAATTGCACTACAAAGTCTTCCTTCAAACTAAGTGATGTGCAAGCCACAAGAACAGGAAGTAAGCTATTACCTCATCCTCCCTAATTTGGGCAGGATGCCTTCTGCAACTGGCATCACTTCTGTGATCTGTAAGTAATTTACACGCAGTTGCAATTCTTCTTTCATCTCCTGCTGTGTGAACCATTTGACTGGTATTAATATGACAGTTGCCACAGAGACAGTTAATATATTTTTACCTGGAGGCTCAGAACTGGGAGTTTTTATCTTCCCAAATTTTTTGAAACACTGTGTAAGCTAACCCGATTATGAGACCAACAACTCTATCTCTAGCCACTTCAGTCTGTGTTTGATTTTATACGTCAGTAACCCAGCTTTACGAAGTGCATAAAACCACCATGCTACAAACAGCGCTTGTGAAAACAGGATATGAAGGTTAGTAACAAGCATGTTAAACTTAGCAAACCTACACCACATTCACACAGCTGTCATGACTACTTTGGGGGTACTAGAATTAAAAACTTTCCTAGCTGCCTTTTCTTACAATAGCAGCATCTACTCTTCAACTCAAACAAAAAACAAACAAAACAAAAGGTTTCTCAGATGCAGTAATCTATGAGGTGACATTTAGATCAGAAATTCCCTAGGAAAGCAAGCATCTTCAATAGGCATTCATTCTTATAAATGAATTATGAACTTGCATAAGTAAACTGTGACAATGGAACCTCCTTATCACTGTTACAGAAAGATAATGTGGAAACTTAAAAATGGGAAGCTTTTCTATAAACATCAACTTTGTGGTTAAAATGTAAGATCCAAACCTGCCAACAAAAAGCAAGATGAAATATCTTGCTGTGATTAATGAACAAACAGGATCACTTCCTAGTGGACTTCAAGCCTACCAAGATGCGCTTACATTTCCACCCCTAGAAAATTATGAGACAGGTAATTCCTTACATCCTCAGACTCGAAGACATGGCAAATCATTTTGTACTGTCTCTTTCCATCCTGGGAAGGGTGAGATGCTTCCACATTATCCTGGGAGTTAGACCGTGGCATTCTCCTACGAGCCATCAGAACAACTATATTTCCTATATCTGCGATGTAAGAAATGGTCCGCAGAGGATGATCCATCATAGTTTCCTAGGGAACAGAAAAAAAAACAATCTGAGAAGCTGTTTCAGTGAAGTTTTTACTGGACTCTGAGTACTATGTCAACATAAGACCTCAGTTAAGTGAAGCCCATACAAAGAAAGAAGACACCAATAAAAAACAAGAGTTTCGCTTTCCAAAGGAATAAAGCAAAGAACATGTTTTATGAATTCAAATTTACACAAAAGCCTCAATATCAGAACCTGAATATGCTGGGGATGTACAGATTCAGTGTGCAAAGCACTACAGCTTTCACATTATCACAGCCAACCATTCCTGGCTACTATGGGCACAACCAATACTTGCCACATGACAGCTAATAAAAAGTGAGCTGACTGCAGTCAGTTCACCTGAAATTTCTAATAATTTAACTACAGACATACCAGAAAATTGATTATATGACATGGCTCTTAAACATGGATTTCTTCCTAAGAAATCCTACAGGGAAATAAAAGAGCCAGCACTTCTTTAAAAACAACTTCTGGCAGACAGGTGAAAGTCTATTTCAGTAGCCTACTGTTACAAAGGTATCCTTGCGTATACCTGTGTGTCTGCATTCAGTACTTTAATTCTTTGTGTAGAAATGAAGAGATCCACTTCAGTCATGGGTTGAGATTCCCCTTCTGGAGCCTGCAATTAAATGAATTAGAGTCAAATGCACACACAAAGTAGCATCCTTACTAATGATGTTAGATCACAAGCAGGGGTGTACTAAAACACAGTCACCAGAACAGCAATGCAAGATAGAGTATTAGACTGCAGAAGCTAAAGAGAAACACAAAGATATGGAAACTACATACGGATTTATGAAAGTGAATTGGATATCAAACAATTGTTAACCCCATAAAAACTTCCTTGGTATCTTCACTGATCCAATAAAGTTATATGTGACTGCAACTTGAACTGTATAGATATTTCATGCAAATTAGTATGATTCTCCCATTTTGGCCACATTAGCAATCCCACTTTAAAGAATTTTTTTTCACACCAGCAAACAGAAACACCTAACAGTTACTCTTGCCTGAGGAACTTCTTTTTAAGCTTACAGCGACTGCTCAGACCAATGGAAAGAAAACATACCAAAGGTGGGTCTAAGCAATTCGTAGGGCAGTTCTGGTAAGAAAGCCTTCACAGTCAGACAATGTACTAATCAAGCATCAATCCCAGCACAGAAATAAGATGTGTGTCAGCAGAAAGCCAACGCTTGTAATTTATTTTTTTTTTTACAAGTTAAGATTCGTTAAAAGGTATTTAAAATCTCCATAAAGAAAACTTATTATTAAAGTAAGCCATTATCAGCAGATTACCATGTATATGTAAACTTTTTTTGCATCCAGCAATTTGACACATCTGTGAATCAAACAAATAATTCTTTATCTAGATAAAAGATAAAATAAAAATAGATTTATTTTTAATCCGTCATTTTACAGAGTTACAACCTTTTCTGTGTTAGTCCTGTTTCTTTAGCATGGATTTTAGGTACTGCCTGTAACCATTTGATAATTCCAATTTTTACTCTATTTCTAACATGAAATGGCTAATGATAAGCAACAAAAAAAGGCCAACCAGGCAACTGATTTCTGAGAAATGTCAACTTGTATGGTGGCTCAGAAATAATCTTAAAAAAGAAAACAAACAAAAACTTGCTGGATGCAGAAAATAACACAAAATAAAAAGAAAGGCAGAAAAATCTCCCAGAAAACAAAAGAACAGGCATAAAATAAAGCTGATGGAGTTTGTACTGCACCTTCTTCCTGCTTTTGGCTAATTTCTGGGCCATCTGCTTAGCATGGAATAAACAGAGACAGGAGAACGGTTAGAGAAGAATTTACAGAGACTCCAAGTCAAGCAGGAATCTGCATGCTAATGCCAGGGCTCACAGACTTCTAGCTGCTCTAAATTAATCCCAACTCAGATTAATTTTCTTTTTCTTCACTTATCCAAGTTTATCATAACCACTTTAAAACATGAAAAGAAACCACACTGAGAAGATCAGTCAAGAAACATACAAAAGCATTATTTTTTTTCCATTCAAGATACTGCTCTCAACAAACAGGTTTTTGCTTATTTGCTTGTTTGTAAGAGAGGAAAAAAAAGCAGCTCTCCCTCATTTGCAGTAGTAGAAGCCATGAGTACAGCCTTTGAAGCAACATCTGGATAGACAGTGAAAGAAGAGTTTTAACCATTTTATTCCATTGTTTTCTGATCTAAGGAATTTAAATTATAAGTTGCCTAAAACCCCCACACCACAATCTTAAAACCAATCAAACAGAAAACAAACAAACAAAATCCCACATTATAAAACTTCAGTAGTTTCTCCCAGAAAAACAGCGTGACAGAAGCAACAGAAGCTAACCTTCACCTCCGTTTTCTCCTCCTCACGTGCAAATATACCCAATGCCAGCATTCACATTACATTTCTGAACAAAGATTTCCTCTGACAACTGCATATCGCCGTGTTTTTTTCAAGAAAAGCATGTACTTCATAGCTACAGCCTCCTAGAACAGTCTCTTGTCACTGATTTGTCACTACTTCCACTGAATTATATCCAAAGATATACTGCCCCACTGCAACAAGTGCATTTACACACTACTGCTGTGACAATAACAACACAAACAAACATCACCTTTCTTATGATCTTGCAAACATTATTCAAACCAAGGTGAAATGAACTTATGAACCTGCTTACTAAAGAAATGCAATACTCATTAAGCACGCAGATATCCTTTTACTTCCAACAGTTAATGTTAGCCAATTAAATTTACAGGCATTCTTGTGGAGGCCTAGCATTGCAACATTCATGAAGAAAAATTCATAGCTAACTGCTTTTATGAAGAACAAAAAGGAAGCCTCAACCAAGAGACACAAAGAAAATTTACATAGATGCTCACCTCTTTATTCTGTCAATTTTAGTGTAAACAAATCTGAATGCAGCTACTGAAATTTTAGACGTGCTGCTTATTTACAAACATGAAAAAATATTCTCACATAGGTTTTTAGTCATCTTTTCCAAATGGAGTAATATTGGATAGTCTGGTGATAACAAACCACTGCAAAAGCAATTAGAACAGCTTCATGCTGCAGGCTCTGCACTATATTAATTTACATTGGTACTGAGAAGTACTATCCATATGTTGAATAATAGAGTTCTGGTATACACTGGGCAAGGGGGAGACACTAATGAGACTCAAACCCTTCTCCAAAATGAAGATCCCCTTCCACACAATTTTCCCCTCCCTCTTCCCCCAAACTGTACATAATGATCGACCTCACAAAAGTAGAAAAGTATAGGCTGCAAAGATGAGAAATTCAAAATTCTGCTCTTGTTCCAATGAGAGTGTATACCCTGCATTACTCTTTTTGAAGAATGATTTTCAAGTATTTCATAGAACTAAGGTAATGACATGGAGCAACTGATACTAAGAAGTGATTTGACACTACACAGAAATGTCATGAAAGAAGTTACAGTTCACAAAAAAAAAACACCACCACCACCTCATCAAATTAGGATAATTTTACACTATAGACTATCAGTCAAATCTTCTTCATTGTTGTTTTGCTAATGAAGATCAGAAGATTATTTCAGTGTGCTTAGAAAGAAGCCACCTGATTTAAACATAACGATATATTTTTTAAATACGAAGAGCCCCTTCACCTAAACAAAATGTAACCACATAATACTCGCAATACTCAAAATCTTAAATCTTTAAATATCAACAAGATTTCACTTTTCGGCTTAGATATTCTCAAGCCATTTAATTTCTACAAAAAATGTACTGCAACTTATCAAACACATGAAAGATACCTGGTAAACAAAATATGTGGAAAATTAAATTATTGGCGCATCTTAAGTTACATTTAGCAATTCAATTATTTGATAGCTCAAATTTGACAAATCTCCCAACGAAAAATAATACAGAAAGCTGTTCCTCTGTATGCAAATTGTAGCATCAGCTCTGCACAAATCAGATGTGAACTGTAAACACAGAAGTTTTTTTTCCTATACTGCCATAAGTATTAAACTTCAAGTATGAATTTCAAGTAAACAACATTGTTTTCCATGCCATTTAAATGAGTAAGACTACAGTCAGAAAACAGTTCAATTCCTTTCCTAAAACTAAAAGTACCTCTTGGTGGTAGTATGAAATCAATTAAGCTTGATGAATGCCTTCAAAGCATTGTATCTGTTACAACTTATGTTGACTTCACATAGTTATATGTCCATGCAACAAAACCCTCAACTCTTCTGCTTTTATCTGCAGAGGTACTTGTTTAAAGAAAAAGTATGAAGAACTGTTTTCAAAGTTTGTTCATATTTTGAAGGAATTAGTATGTGGTCTAACTGCTCATCCAAAAGGAAGCATTAGAAGAATTATTAAATTCAAAAGGAACACTGAGATTAGAAGGTATGTGAACACAACAAGCCTTAAACAAAGCTGTTCCCTCTTTTCCAATACTCTTAAGTTTACAGATTTTTCTAAGATCTGTCTTAATTCATAAACTTTGGCGATTTAAGTAGTGATTAACCTAGGAGCAGGAACTCTATTTGTCATAATGAAGCTCTCACTAAAACGTTTGGCTTGAATGGCAATCGCCAACAAAATCAATCAAAACCAACACCAAAGATCTCAAGGGGCAGAGGGGCACATTTGCATTTCCATCATGTAGAAGAACATAATCTGCCAAAGAACTGTGCAATGGTATTGTGTGCCATGCAGTAAGCAAACAATTTTCTGAAATTCACTTAGTTTCAGAAAATTATGCGCACAAGCTTGCTTTTACCAGGTCAACTGTACAACTACTAGGACCTCTGCCCTACGACACATTTACTGTAACCAAGAACATGCAAGCCTGTTCATTTAAATGGATGTATAAATTATGGATTTGATGAGTGAAATAAGCTGAACAGATTCCTTCCATGTTGAGGCACAGCAGTGCTGAGGCATAACAGAAACCTCAAAAAGGTTTCTGTTTCTGCTAACGAATTTCTTAGACTCTTTAACTTTTCTTTATAACTCATGTTCAAAAAGCAGCACTACATAACTGATTTACCTTGCAGAAAAATAAAGCACTTAACCTTCCTGAAACCACAGACAACCCCACACAAGAAGACTACTGCTTACATATCCACAATTTTAAGGTACAGCATGAAAAGTAGCCAGAATCATTCCTCACCTTGATTCTGCTGACAGCTTCCTGAGCCTGCATCATTCTCACATTCTTGGAGGGAGTTTTATCAGACAGGAGCTGAGTTGAACCAAGATAGTTGGCAGCAAAAATGATTCCATCAATTAGGTCTTCAGGATCACACGGTCCAGGAACTGAAACAAAGGAGAGAGATCACTGCAGAAAATCACACCGAATCATGGCAAAACACAACACTGACAGCTTGAGCCTGCACCTGGTGGCTGTAAATGCTCCTCTAAATTACTACAGTTTCCCATGACAACATGGCAAACAGTTCTTTCAGAGCACACCACGTAAAAGCTCTCAACATCTCTTCCACAAAAACTGTAATCATTAATCCAATCTGTCTCTTACAATAGCTCATTCTTCTTGAAAGGAATCACCTTATGGCAAAATCTCTCAGAGCTTTTGCTGTTACAAAGAGACATGGTAATAAGCTCTTCCCTCATCCACCAAAAATCTCCTTGCAATTCTAAGACAGTTATAACTAAAAGAGAAAGGGTGCAATTTAAGAATAGCCATCAGTTACTTGCTCACTGTCAGCCACAGTTAGTACACGGCAGAGGAACCTCCCTGGCAATGCTTTACAGGTACCAACACCTCCTCTTATCAAGGAGACTGATAGCCCAATTAAACAAATTACTTTCATCTCACAGGCCTTTAAAAATCATCCTCAGTCTCAACAAGGATATTAAGGGAAAGTACAGAATGCAGTAAAAATGTTGCTACATATGCAGAGCGCAGGATGTTCCAGTGGGAAAAAGCAGCACTGAAGTCCCAAAAGATTATCATCTGATTCCCATCAACTTCTCTGGAAAGTCAGAGGGTGAGGAAGTACTCAATGCCTAACAATTTAAATCATTATAAAGCAGCATTTGTTATCTGCAACTTTTAGATATAATTGCCAAACACACCACACAAAAACTGTGTATCTAAAACTGCAACTGTATGTTGCAATTTAACACATTGCTACATGTTAAAGTTGTCAGGATCCCAAAGGAAATCTGGTCGAGCTGAGCTTCTTGCTTCCTTAGAAGTGAAGAAAAGATAACTGATGTTCAAGACAAGTGAAAATGTATATCTTCTTAAATAATTCAACTGGCAAAAGTAGTTGGGTTTGAGGGCTTTTTTAAGTTTTCTATTCTAGGAGCAAAGCGAAAAAAACCAAAAAAAACAAACAAAACCCCCCCCTAAAATATTAGAAAGGAGTTTTCATTAGCTCAAGGCTTTTTTTTTTTTTTTTTTTTTTTTGAAAAATGAGGCGATGGAGCCCAAAGTTTAACATTATTTACAATGCCAATTCTGTTTTAATTACAATACAAGAGACCAACAATCACTTAAAACAAGCATGAGAAACTTGAGCCCTGAAGAAATGCGAGTAATTTTTAATAATAGAATAACAGATCTAAGAGATTAGTAGAACAATCAATTTGTAGTCTAAAGGGAATGGCTGATAATCCTACTAATCATTTAAATACAGCAAACTGTAAAGCCATCCAAGAAATTCCAAGACAGTCAAAACGACCAACTCTATTTCCAGCACTTTGTAAAGCACACGTTGCAACTGCTAGTGGGGCAAAACAACAAATGAAACTTCAAATGTTTGGCTTCTGTTGTGCACCCAGAACAACAGAACTGAATTTATTATTTTGTTTGTCTGCGTGGAGTGCAGATTCACACAAAAGGTAACATGAGTTCAGGTAGTAGGTAATCCGTTTTCTCACGTCTTTCTCAATAAACACATCCCTATTACAATCTGAACTCTAATACAGGAAGCACTGTGTAATTAGAGGACAAGTAGCTGTAAAGCAGTGCAGATCTCCTCTGGCAGGCCTACCAATTAGTCCCATTAATTCAATCTTGCTAATTAATCCAACTGAGATTGGAATGAGCATGACACTTGAAATTAGTGCTAGACAGAGCACTACAGTCATCTTGCTTAACCTCTTTTCTTTATTCATCATAAAAAATTTAGCAGTGTTTTATGAGATTCTGATAAAAGCCTAGTGGATCAGACAGGAATTTGGAATGAAACACTAAAAAACAGAATGTATGCATATTCCTGAAGTTCAGAAAGAGCCTAATAGGATTTAGCTCAGGCTACAGATTGAAAACAGTTTGATCTAAATCAGTGCACCCAACTCTAGTAGCTTTTCTATTCAGCAAATGAAAATAAAATTTTATGCATTATAAATACTGGAATTCTTAAGAGATGCAAAAATATTTAGAAATCGTAGAACCACCTTACCTTCAACATAGGTTGGAAATGAAGCCAAGCTTTTTCTGGACTGTAATTAAGACAAAGAACAGAGCATGTGCATATACAGATTAAAAAGTTCTCCATGCCAAAAAGAAAAAAAAGATATTAAAGGAAGATTGCTGTATACTAAGATTTACTATTCTATCTGGTACTTTCAGACTTGAACCAGGTACGTAAGTTCAGTGTATTCCATTTACATGTTTAGCTATCAGGCAAAATGCTAAGCTCAGTTTTCAGTTACATGCTGGTATCTGTTAGCATATTAACTATCAAATGGTGCTCTGCTTTCACTAATCAAAAGGTACGCAGGAAAACACATCACACCTCAAAGATCAGTTTTCCCACCACAAATGAATGCCATGTAGAAACATACACCAAAACCATCAGCTCAGTTAGTTATTCATTAACCAAATTTTGTTATTCATCACAATTGTTTTTACATGTATCCCTCACATCATACAGCCTATTAAAAACATTTCAAATTTTATATTCTGTGGTATAATTGAAGCCACTAGAACTTTGACACCAGCTCTATTTACACTGCATCAAGCATAAGAATATATTTGCTACCTTCAATTCTCTAAAAGGTGAATGGTTCAAAAAAACTTATTTTGTATATGTCAATACACAGTGCAAAGGAAGACCTTATTTCCAGCTGCAGCTTTCCGTATGAAACACACTGGCTAACACTTCAAACACCTGAAAGCTACAAATTCAGTAAGACTCACCATGTTATTATACTCAATAACATACATTGGAAAAGTTATCAAAGAAAATTCAATATGCCACATACAGATGACAATAAATAATGGAAATAGATGCTGATATCACAAGCATCGCAAGTAAGAATTTTGGATAGCCCAAGGATTACAAAACTTTAATGAACATATAACTGATTTGTATCAGCAGTAACTCCTTCAATGACTGTCCAATTCAGTAGTATTAAAAGAAGAGCCACATATAGTCAGAATACTGCACAGTATCTTAGACAGTTTTGAGCTGCAGTTATACATATTCATATTTATACCAGTATGAAAAATTAGTCTCCTTTATTGAAGGAAACTTACTAGGTTCTGTATGATAGTGATAAATATAGGTAGACCAGGAAGGTCTCTGTTAAATGACAGACTAATCCCAAAAAGTTTTTTCCATTTTTGCAAATGGAAAATACATGCAAGTAATTTTTTTTTCAAGCACCGATACTGGTCTTGCTATAAAAACCACTCAAGAAAGAAAAACAAAACATACATGATAGCCAGCTGTCTATGCAACCCTTAAGTACTTGTTCCTTCTAAAAATGACTAAGCTGTACTGCAAAACTAAGAAGGCTCCCCACCAGAGGTAGTACTAACATACATAAAGATGTCAGTAAACCACCATCTCCTGCTGCCAAGGCATATCAGCTGCTGCATAGATAGAGACATTCATTCACAGATGTGTGGCTCTTTCACCTCTTCAGATTAATGTTTTTTACTGCACCACCTACCTATACAGGCTCAAAAGTCATTTGCTGTTGCTACTCGCATGTAGCTAAGAAGGATATTTAACAGACGGACGCTGACCACACCTGAGGACAAATCCACTGCACACCACAGATAGTTTATGCAAAGAAATATCTTTTCTGATAAACTTTTTTTTTTTTTTAAATTCAAACAGCGTGCCCAAAGTTTATAAATACAGATTTGGCAACTATTCAGCCATCTGGCTAGCGGATACAACTTCTTCTCAAGATAAAACCATTAAACTGTCATTACACACGCTCTTACAGTGAAAACTCTCACCAAAAAGTCATATTTTTTCTTTTGCTCTTTATCCAGGTCAAAGGATATTCCACTAAGGCCACAGGAATACTAAGGAAACAGGCAAAACTGCTAATAAGATGAAATCTACACCTTTTAATTATCCAAAAATAATGAAATGCTGAGATCATCAATATTTCATTACTCTTGTTAGTATTTTTACTGCCTTTTGGCATAGCATTATACAAACTGTATCTTAGAAAAAGGTTTTTATTAAGATCTTAAAAGAACTCCCCAAAACTATGACTCTGTTTTATCACTCCTCTTGCATGAAGATACTAAAGCAGGCACTATTGCTCATTTGAGAGGAACAAATGGACTTATTCATCCTACTGTGGATTTTACCAGGTTTACCAGGATTAACTGTCACCATGCGTGAACACATACTAAAAACTGAAATGAGCAGCACCTTATCTTGTTTTCCACATTTTTCCCCTGAGTAAGTTTATCTAAAAATATTTAATAGTTAGAAAGTACATGAAGTAACAAAATTTATAAGCTGAAGAAAGCTAAACGCTTGAAGAAACTAACAATACTGCAGCTAAAAATGTAATGACGCAATCCACTGATTAAAAAAAAGAAAATAAACCAAATTTTGAGTAGGTGGAACTAGCATGCTGTAAAAAGCTAATAGGTGAAATAATGCGTAAGAAAGTATTTAGCTGCATTGTGCAAAGCTTTATTGAGGAGTCAAGAACTCCTAAATTCTGACTGTGAATCACTGGCAAATTATCATCAGATCACATTTAGCTCTTCCAACAGCTCTGTCTGCTAATATAGTAATGCTAATATACTAAGTAGAAAAAATTACTAAATTAATTTTATTTAAGGAGGATTATTCACCTCTCTGAGAAATATTACTTTCTTTGTTGGAAGACATTTTGAATGGGAAAAAAGAAAGAAGCTCCTTCATTTGTCTCTAATACAAAAGTGATTTCTTCTGTTCTTCTTCCAGCCTGGTAAGTAAATTTTGCAGCAGCCAAACAGAGTCAGAAATGTCATGATAACCCTTCTTAAGTACGTTAGAAATTCAGTTGGACAGCCAGACAAGCACAAGGGGAAGAAGCTGTAAATCAGCTGTAAATCAGTAGTTTGTTGCAGTATTGACAGAAGAGAAGGGATTGCACAGGTCTAAGAGCGGAATGACAACAAAAAGGCATGAGCAGCATGAACAAGACTGTGGCTTTTAAAAAGGTTTCACTCTACCTCTTTATTAGTGGAGGGCTCTGCTGTACTGCAGACATCCTGGTGATGTTGCCTACTTGACGACTCAGCACCCCGAGGTGAAGAAGAATCTGGAGATGGAGACTAGACATGGCAAGAAAATAAAATTAAATAATGATCTGAGTGAACAATGTAGAAATTCTTCTTTCATAATTTCCTCTCACTTGGCAGAGGAAATAAGAAATGAGTGAAAAAAAGGAAAAATAAAAAACAAAACAGGACAAACATTTTTGAGATGTTGTAACCCTTGACTTTATCACAATGATAACATGTAACTCAGTACCTCACTGGACTTGGTCTGAACAGCTAAATCTTTTTAAAAAACCATTTATTTATCAGTAATGTATAAAATAAACAGGTGGAAGACTTGAAAATCTGTACACAACGGCAATAAGGACCGAGCCAAAAAGTGTGTCATAACATCATTCTTGTGAGGTAAATGGAGGATTGCCTGTGGCACTGGGCCAACTGCTTACATTTACTGTCAGCATTCAGCAACACTGCAGTCACAGGGCTGCCAGTTGCGCAAGAACATTCCTGTTACATGCAGGCAAATGATTCTGTGAGCTTACTGAAAGCTGTGAGCAACACAGACCCATGTTCTAGAATTCTGACATTTAGTAAAGAAAATATGAAGTCATTAAGCAGAACTAAGCTGTGATGGTAGACAGGCGAGTTGATCACAACCAGAGAAGAGATTCTGCTAAAGGTAACTTACTCTTAAATGTTAAACTGTAAAGATGGAAGAGAAGACTGCAGTTTCCCTAGCAGCACAAAGACTTTCAGGCATAATAAACCTGAAGTAGTAAATTAATTTCATTTAAGCAGAAGCAGGCTGTAAAACTTGTCCATAAATGTCAGTTCCACTATCTTTAAAAATACCTTTTATTAACTGTACAAAGAAATACTAACATACTCAAGGACTTCTTAATGTACTAAATGGCTATACAGTACCAGTATAATCAATGGTTCTTCAATCTGGAGGATTTACAAACTCTGTAAATACTGCACAGTTCATTCTATGATCTAAACAACATACATGCCTCCTACATCAAATTTCCTAATTTCCTTTACTTCTTTAACCCATAGCCTTTAACCCATAACCTGTGTCTCATACCATTTCCTAGTCATTCAGCATCATCATATTAGAACATCACAGTATAAAAACAAATGGAACAGCACACAAAGCAGTATCATCAAATTTCCAGTTCTATGTGATCTGTCAGTGAGTATTTTGGTAACTGTGGGAAAGGCTATTCTAACCAGAAGCTGTTCCTGATGAATGCTGACAAAGAACACCATAGTGAGGTACCACAGAAGGGCAAACTGGAATGTAAACGTGACACAACACTGAGTTGGAATTAATGATGGTGACCAAAACATATGAGAGTACAAAGCGTCAAGCCAGCACGCATTTTAAAGGCAGATTTTCAAAAGGTATTTGCAAAACAAGTCTGTGCACATGATAAAACATAAATCCTCTAAAGCAACTTCAGCATTTGTTTATACAAGCTGAGTTTTTAACTCAGCAGAGCCAGATTTCTACAACCTCCTTTGATATAGGGAGTTTGGCCAATTCAACAGTTCATCAAATGAACTGTTGAATCAGTGGCAATGATGGCAAAACAGTCTAATACCATTCTTTCATTTTCTTTACAAGAAGAAAAAAGAAGAAAAAAAGAATCCTCTTCCCTAACCAAAATTATCAATAATAATAATATACTGCCTACGAATAACAAATAACAAACTCCCTACAAAGTTTGCTACACAAGAAGAAACAAGTACTGCCCATGAAAACTTTTCTACCAGCGTTTGAAGAAGAAACATTCAGTTTTCCTTCACATCACAATGTTTGTTCAGAGCCACCACTTACAATCCACAAAGAAAGAATGCAGTCACAGTCTGGAAGTAGCTTTTGTGCCAATAATGAAATAAACTGACAAATCACAGCGGACAGACAACTTGCACAGCTGTTGTATAAACTGAATTCTAAAACAAATGCTTACCAACTGCTTCATTATCTGATAAGAAAACAAGTTCTAGAAACCTAACAAAAATGCTTTCAGAACAAACAAAATAAATGCATGTGAAGCATGCTGTTATTACATAGAGAGATCCAGCAGAGGAATGAAAGTGTTTTCTAAAGTGCAGTAATAAAAAAGTACAAGTTGCCCACTTGAATATCTACTTACGCTTTTCTTACGATACTCAACCTGGTACATCCAAAAATTCTCCATCTCAATTTCAGTGTTGTTTGATTCTAACTAACACACAACTCACTCCACTTGAGAAGCCTTCCCTGCTATTGCTCAAAGAAATTCTGTAACAGAACTTGTAACTGGAGAGGATGAAGCATTGTGTTGCATGGAACTTATCCAGGTCAATCCAGCTGGCTGCTGAATAACTTGTGAAGAAAAACATAACCAGCACTGAAACTTCTTCAAACACAACCACCTGCTTTCGTTTTATAAAAGCAATGCTGTTTTACCTATTTATGGCATCAGAGTCTCTGAAAACAGTATAACTTTGGGCCACAAATAAAACTGGAACAGAAAGGATGAAATGCTACTTCAGCACAGCAAGATGAAGTTAAACAAAAGACCATTACTTAAAATGTCTGCACACAGGCTTCTTGGCCAAAGAACAGCAGATTACCTCTTCCTGTACCTAATTCCCAGAAGATAATAGGGTAAAGCAAGGGCTTTAAATTTAATTGACCTCAGTGACAAAAAGTTCCCTGAATGCTACCACACATACTAAGCAAAGGTCAAAGCACTACAAAATTTTCAGATCCAGCATGCAAGTGTAGTCAGATCTGTGCCCCATTGTTTTAATTGTCTATCCATTGTAATCTATCAAACTATTTCTTGCTATTAATTTAAAACTGACTTTCAGACCATGACTGCATTCCTTATATACTATAGATAGTGTTATTAAGCATTGTACATTCAGTATAGTTATGAGCTAGTGTTGAAGTTGTTCTTTCCTTCAGGAGGAGAAAGAGTAAAGAAAATGCACCTAAATTCCACAGCTGAAGTTTCTAATAAGCAATCCATCACAGCTGTCCTTTTTCAGGACTTGATTCAAAGTATACCTCATAGAAGACAACAGACCATTCATTTAACAGATGCTGGATTAGGACCTTGAGTTTGTCAGAAACTCTCTTACAGTCTACAGAATCTCCAGTTAAGCAGGATGTTATGTATATTCACTACTCTTCTCTAGAAAGACATAAAACAAGTTCTGTCTGATCACGTGAGCAATAACATGATAGTATTTAGAATCACAGAATCACCAAGGTTGGAAAAGACCTCCAAGATCATCCAGTCCAACCATCCACCAGTCACCAATATTTTCCCACTCATATCCCTCAGTACAACATCTAAATGCTTCTTGAACTCCTCCCAAGATGGTGACTCCACCACCTCCCTGGGCAGCCCCATTCCAGCACCAGACCACTCTCATGGAGAGGTATTATTTCCTAACATTATTTCCAACGTGAATCTCCCCTAATACAAGTTGAGGCCATTCCCTCTCGTCTTATCACTAGTCACATGGGAGAAGAGGCCGATCCCAGCTCACCACATCCTCCCTTCAGGTAGTTATAGAGAGCAATAACGTCACTCCTGAGCATCCTCTTATCCAGACTATACAATCCCAGTTCCCTCAGCTGCTCCCCATAAGATCTGTGCTCTAGATCCTTCACAGCTTCACTGTCCTCTGGACATGCTCCATTGCCTCTACGTCTTTCATGTAGTGAGAGGCCCAAAACTGAATGCAGTACTCGAGGTGTGGCCTCACAAGACTTATGTAAGTTTGATTTCTGATTCTTAAAAATGGAACTAGAAATCAGATTGCTGGATCTTAGGAGCACCAACATTTTCTCACATCAGGAAACATTTTCATCACTTCAGGAAAGGTCTGGCAGGAAAAAAAGCACTTAAGTAGAGCTCTGTGAATTCAAGTTAGTGACCTGTGTCTGTTATATTAATGTATAAAAATGACAGTATAAAGGAAAAAAATTTGATTTTACTTCTTTGCTGCTAGCTCAGTTCATAAGAAAAAGAACAAACTGTAATTTTCATGTGCCAAATATGAAAACATTTTCTTGGATAGTTAAGTACAACACTAAAGTACCACAAGACAGTGTGCTTTATAAGTAGAACTTTCCAATGCAAAAAGACATAAATCACTCAACACAGGCAATCTACCTTCCACTCCTACCTATGGCTACCTCAACTAGCTATCAGAAGGCAATATTTCTTGGCCAAAACTGCCTATTTTGTTGTTGTAGAGCATCTACTGTGACTTGAACAGTTAAAATTCTGTTCACTAAAAACTAGACTGACACCATCAACATATATTCATAGCTTTTAAATGATCTCAAGTACCCATTAAGAATAGAGCTAAGGAGCTAAATTTCTTTACAATATAACTAATCATTATTACTAGTCTGCTTTGGATAAATTTGCATTAAATGTAGTGTTAAGATGAAGGCTTTGGAAAAAAAAAGAAAAAACTATTGTACACATACACACATACTGTGGAGCAATGTACGGAATTCATTTTTTACCTGTGACACAAGAAAGAAACTCCAATTTGTTCTCCAGTTAAAAATGTGACACAACCACATCTCTCTGCATAACAGCACACTCATGCATCAGTTTCATAAGTGGTTCAGGACATCCTCTTAATACTGCTAATTTGCGCAGATGATAACAGAGGTTAACTTGAGGGAAGATAACAGACTGATCTATTCAAATGAGAACAAAACATTTAGTGGCTATAGCACCTCTCCATATAGAAATCCCAGGCACCCCAGGTGACTCCTGCATATTCAGCAACTCAGAGGTACCACTCTTTGCTTCAATGAGCAGACCACTGCCTTCAGCAGGGACTTTGTGCAGTGCAACTTCTGCTGCAAAAAATGACCAAACAGAACACAAGTAAGATACTTGCTTATAGTCAACAAATCACTATTCCTGCAGATTCAGATATGGCCATGAATAGCCTGTAAACACAGCTAAGACAGGTTATGTTTTGTATGTAGTTTAAAGTGATCTGCAACAGTGAGACATGCATGC